TTTGTAACAAACCAAACCTCGTGAAAATCAGTTGAAAATTCAGTGAGTTATTCTATTTTACTTGTGCATACAGCTCCTTCCTCAATAGAAGTGAATGCACTGTGGAGGAGAAGCGAGACCCATCCAAGATGGTGGCCGGCGAGGACGCGCTCAGGCACTCGATGCGGCGTCTATGTATATATGTCTATGGTCTGACCTGTACAAATTGTGGTGCATTTCTTTTCGTAGGAAAACATATGAACAATAGCCTACATGAGAACAGCCTGAAGATGTGACAGTTTGTCTTTGCGGTATTTGTTCCTCCTCCACTGTGACTGAATGTCTGAAGTGACAGTGATGAGCACGGTGTTTTTATGCAAAGTTAAACATTTTTCCATCGGCGCTCAGAAAAAGAAAACACCCAGCCAACAGCGCTCAGTGCAGAATTCATGCTAATAAAATAGAAGCAGTGGGGTTTCTGTGAAGTGCTGTAAAGGTTAGTTGATTCAAAACACACGTTAAACATGACTTAATAGAGACAATTTCAAGTACACAAACAAACAAAAATCAGCTTCACTATAACTCGCAGCATTCACAAACAAACACTTGTCTTTATCTGGACACATTTTCCCCACAAATACAACATGCTAACGTTATTAGCACAAGCCTATGGCATTTTACATTGTATAAATTAGCCTTGCGGTTAGCAGAGATTTCCTCTGCTTCAGCCTATATGAAGCCGGGAACAACAGCAACATTTAACAAAGGTGAAGTTACAAAATTCGGCTCCACCACAGCTCACAGGATTCATTGACAAAACAACTGTCTTATACTAAACATGTTTTCCAAACAAATACAACATGCTAACATTATTAGCACAAGCCTATGGCATTTTACATTGTATAAATTAGCTTAGTGACTAGCAGAGATTTCCTCTACTCGTATGAAGTCAAGTAAAGTTTCTTTAAATTAAATTCCCAAATTAGCTCATATAGTACAAGACAGAGTAATCAGCTCCACCCTCCTTTTTACAAAATGAAACATTGGGGGTATGCCTTCAGATATCATGGTGTACAAATTTGGAACACCACAGCACATGTTGTCAAGAGCCCTTTATGCTTAGAAAATTTTACAAGGAAATTATCATTACATTCAATTCATGATGTCTTATTATTTCTTGACTTATACATATATTTTTACACCATTTTTTTCTTTTTTCTTTGCACTGTGCTCCCTGTATTTCTTGGTTTATATTGTATTATTTTTCCTGTTGTTATTTATCTTTTGTTGTATTTTTCTGTATAATCCCTTTTTTTGGGTCATTGTCTGTTTTCTCCTTCAGTTGAGCAGAGGTCTGTTTGTATAAGCCTCCTTAACCTCTCCTGAAACATTTCTTATTTTTCCTATTTCACTATTTGGACTTTATATACCATTATAAAACAATTAAATAAATAAATAAATACAAAGTGCATGAGTGTGGACGTTGGGATCAGACCAAACTATCTGTAACTCTTTCACATGCAACACATTTATGTCTCAATGAGTCGAATGTTTACATGTAGTGCTACTTGATACTTGTACTCCACTACATTTCAAAGGTTTATGTTGCACTGCACTACATTTATCTGACAGCTTTAGATACTACAAATTAAAGTGTCTGCACAGCCACACAGGTGTTTTCTATTATTAGGCTCATTAGATTTTGAGTCAGGTGAAATCTGGGTGGAGATGTGCTTGAAATTATGGGATGACATCATTTATCTGCACTAAGGATGGTAAGGGATAATTTGCCTCGCCCCAACAGGTACAACCAGATCGACAAAGCCAGAGTGGTAATTAAAAACTCTCTCAGGTCAGTTTCTGTTGTCTTTATGAATGTGTTTACTCAGTTTTTATTTTTACAGTCTATGGTTTGTAGCCAGGAAGTTAAACTCTGCACAGCAACGGCTGCAAAGGTTTCATCAGTTCCACACTACTCTTCATATACAAGAAGACAAGGTGACAGACGGCTGTCAGGGGTCCTCTAAACTATCTGCTCTGAACAACAGAATTCAAAACTTTGATTTATTTTTAACTTTTCTTTTTCTTTAAATCAAAGTTTGTGAGTTTGTTACACGATGACATGAGATGATGAATTTGCTTGGTTTGAATCAAAGCAACTTTGTACAGGTTCTGTTGACAATAACATTTGATCCTGTGAACGCAGCTCAGATTCAGTCCAACCAGTCAGACCACATACATTAGTCACGTGAGGCCACAGAAACAAACAAACACACACACACACACACACACACACACTAATGAAGGATACGATGCAGCATCACTTCACTTCGTCTGATAAAAGTTGAAGTTGCAGCGAAGCATTAGGGTTCTTTTTTTTACACAGAGCTGCTGAGGACAGAAGAGAGCTGCAACCTGATGAAGTCCATGGTGAGAAATTCAGTAAGTAGAGCTTTGATGGATTGAAATGACATCATTGATTGTTGTGGTTGGAGAAACAGCTGAATTGATGTTGACCGTGTGATTGTTTAAAGAGTAACTAAACCATAAAACCATTTTTTTTCAGGTGATAATCATTGTTTCTGGTTGTATAGTAGTGTTACTGACTGATCCTGCTCAACATCTTGACAGTTTAGTGCAAACTGTTGAAAATCTACATTTTATTTTAAAAATGTGGTATGGAGTTCCCTCTATAGCTTGAAACCTGGTTACTACATTTGAATTTACATTACATTACATTGGAGGCAAAAGATTCTTTTTCGAGGCGAATGACGTCACTAACTGTCCACGCTAAAGCCTGCCCTCCTCCCTTTACTCCTCCCCTTACTATAAAACCATTCTGTCCAGAGAGAGCCGAGCCTCGGGGGTATATGTGCGGGCTGCGAGGGAGGGAGGGGTGGATGGATGCGGTGGGGTGGGCTGCTGCGCGGTGAACCCAGGCTCCCAGAGAGGGAGAAATAGAACCAAGGAGGATAAAATAAGTCAAAGTGTGGAGTAGGGGACCGGCTGAACTCTGGCCGCCTTCCCTTCTGCCCGTGTGACACAGTTAGGGGCGGTTTTCCAAGCCACCATCGGCACAATGAAAATAAGTTGAAGTGTGGAGGAAGCCCTCTCCTCTCTCCCCGCAGCGAGGAACAATCTTCACTCCGCCCCCTTCCTCAGCCTGTCTCCCCCCCCCCACCCCCACCCCCCTGTGTTCAATGACTGTGTTCAGCCCAAATGCATGAAATATTTAGTTTTTTTTGGGGGGGGGCTTTCCAGCTATATAGGAATATAGGTATATATCTAAGTTTTTTGGAGCTGTGCACGCTGCTGTTTTTCAACATTTCTACTGAGCCATGGAACACAGTCACGTGTGTATTAGTATTGAGGTGAATGAGCCGTCCAAAAGCTTGATATGTTTCCTGTAGTCAGAATTCTGTGTGTTGGTCATGTGACTGAGAGGAATAATGATAAATAATGTGTGATCTCTCCCAGCAGGTTGTTGTGTTTGTGTGAAGGTGTGGACTCTGCTATGGATCAGTGTGAGGAACCAGAGGAGGGAGTCCGTCCCTCTAAAACCACTCCATGTGGGGACCATGACAACCGGACCGAAGCTCAGAGGTGAGATGAGGATCTCTAACTGTCCATGACTCTTCTTCATGTCAGAGCTCAGCACTCAGATTATTCACCGTCATTACTCACACTGCAAGTTCTGTGTGTGTTGTTTTATAGCCCAGAGCATCTGCACATACCAGACTCTCCTAGACCTGGACTTGAACCTGGAACTGAACCCAGACCAGAACCTGAAGCTAAACCTGAACCTGAATCTAAACCTGGACCCAAGCCTGTAACTGGACCTGAACCTGAAGCCAAATCTGAAACTGAACGTGAACCTGAATCTGGGCCTGGACCTGGACCTGAATCTGAACCGGAACCGGAACCGGAACAGGAACCTGAGCTTGAACCTGAACCTGAACCAGATCCCAGCTCTGTGTCCATGCAGAACAATGGGTCCATGGGGATTCCTCTTGTTTTTGATGTTGAAAGGTAAAAACTGAAGACATTTGTTGTTTGTATGTGTTAAAAGATTGAACATATTTTCACCAACACTGGAACAAAGTGTTGACCCCAGCTGCTCACGTGAAAAATGATAAATAGTTGTCTGATTCAGGATTTAGTTTGTTGTGATTTTTTTGTGTACCTGCATACAGAAAAAATTAAATGCTCTTCTTCCCGGCCCACAGCAATCCAACAAGAAAGGATAAAAATACATAAATACAAAAAATCCCTTAAAAACGAGAAAACTAAAAAACAGAAGCTGTTAGCAGCACATTACATCAAAGTGCATTATAGAGAAAGTGAATGTCTCAGTTTGATGCATGTCAGCGGGTGACCGGCACTGATGGATGGGGTTTGCGGCCCAGTGGGGAACTGAGAACGCCGGTGGGGGGGCACAGTGTAGTGATGATCCTGACTGCTTGCTGATAAAAGCTATTAAGCATTCTGCTTGATTTGGCCCAGGTGCTCATGCACCTCCTCCTGGATGGCAGGAGGGAAATCACACTGTGGGAAGGGTGGTGGAGATCCCTGATGATGCTGGAGGATCTGCAAATGCAACATTAATGGTAAATCTCCAGTTTGAAGGCGAGAGGAGCATCAATAATCTTGCTTGCTGTCTTTGATAGTTAGTCAGCGCATGCATTAGCGTTGTGATTAACTAGCAGTAGCTTTGTAAAAAAGTCATAAACTGACAATTTTATCAAGTTTTTAAGCCAGTTGTTCAGCCACACATTATTGCAGCACTAACCTATTCACGAATCATTCAGAGATTTCTGATCATTCATGGATTTGTTTCAAGCGGACTGCTGATAGCCTGCATCTCACTTGCATAGCTGGGTTTGCTTTAGCCTGGCAGCTGAGCTAGCTGATAACTTTAACAACTGTGTGTGAACAGCAAGCACTCTCAGCTGAAAGATGACATCAGCTGGCTGAAAATGGAGCTTAGGAAAATGGATGTGCCAACCCTGGGTTTCTCCACTGTTGGCACTATGATGTCACTTTCAAAAGCTTTGGTGACATTAAATTCAATTATGTCTGTCGACTCCACATCTGGCTTGGCTTATTTTCATTCTCGTATTTTTTTTAACCTGTCTTAGTATATTTTGGCTTGTTTTTATTAGGTGTCTGTGCCTGTGACAGCCATGGCTGGAGTCATTATGTTTTCAGGTTGTCAGCCTGTCCATCTCTGCTGTACTCGTGAATGTGACATCTCAAGAACACCTTGTGGGAATTTCTTCAAATTTGGCACAAACATACACTTGAATTCAACAATGAACTAAATAGGTTTTTGTGGTCAAAGGTCAAGGTCAGTCAGTACGTTTAAATGCACAGTCAAGTCCAGCTATGGTTGTAGTTTGAGTAGGCCATTTAATTGGACTACGGTCCTTGTCCCAATATACAAGCACGGGACTCTGCTACAGTAGGTGGTGATATGCCCCCCTTCAGCTTGTTAGTATCCGATCTTTTTCCGGTTAAGGTATTACATCACAGACCAAACAATCGACAAACAAATTAGCTACGGTTAGCTAGTGGCTAACTTGGTAAAACATGAACATGAACTTTGTCTTCTCGTCAGTCCAAAGGTGCACAGCTCTGGATGTAGATTTCTCCATGTTGTTACCGGCGTCTTCTTCTCTTAGACATTTAATGCTATTGGACTTCCGGGTCAAAGCCCGGGGCGGAAACTGTGGAGCATGCTCAGAGTGCCTCAGCCAGTTTGGGTCTGATTGACTGTAGGCAGAGGGAATTCAACTGCCAATCACATTATCTGGGTGTGTTAGTCCAACTTTAGAAATTCCATTTAGCACAATTTCAGGCAGACTAACATGTTTACACATGTTTGTGTTGGACTAACACAATAAATACATTTTCTCTGACTTTCTGACTGCGACCTTGCATCCATCTCATTCTTGTGAACGTGATATCCCAAGAGCACCTTGAGAGAATTTCTTCAAATTGGTGCAAACATCCACTTTGAGTCAAGAATGTACTTATCAGAATTTGGTGGTTAAAGGACAAGGTCACTGTGACCCCATCTGTCTCCTGAATGCAATATCTCAAGAACACCTTGAGGGAATTTTTTCCTTAAATTTGGCACAAACATCCACTTGGATTCAAGATCTTCAAAATGCCTTGACATCATAGTGCATACTGAACTACTGATTCTCAGTGGGTTCAGCAGGACTAATAAACTTTTACCACTACATGGAAACATCTGACATTGCTGTTCACATTCAAATATCACTTCATGGACCTTTACCTTGTCTTTGTCTCTGTGTGGACACACATAATATGAGCTCATTCTATATGGTTCCTTCACAGTGTGGACGAGGAGAGCTCAGACGTTCCCGGCGGTCAGTCTGCCCAGCAGCATCAGACACACCTGGACTCCATATTTATGGTCTGTACATGTGCAACAACTACATTTACATCTCTGCACTGTACTTTTTAGATCAGTGGATTGTCAATCTGTCAATCATGGATCTGATGTTTGGTTCCATGATTGCAGTTTCATTGTGTCATAATATTCTGTTCCAGATGTTGGAGGAGAACATTGTCACATTTGTGAAGAACGAGCTAAAGTTGTTCCAGAAAGTTCTGAGTTCAGATTTCTCAAAATGCTTAGAGAGTGAGAGGGAGGATGAGGAGGTGTTGGACAGTGAGGATGAAGAGCAGAGGAGGAGCAGCAGAGAGGCATTTCTGAAGATCACACTGCACCTCCTCAGAAGAATGAAGCAGGAGGAGCTGGCTGACTGTCTGCAGAGCAGTACGAGGATTTATTTAAAGATTTAACTGGATAAATGGGACATTTACTAATGTTTCAATGAACAATGTTTTATTTACATGATAAGTTATTCATTATCTTGTTTGTTGTGTGTTCTTTCAGAAAGTCGCCCTGGAGTTTGTCAACGTAAACTCAAATCTAACCTAAAGAAGAAGTTCCGGTGTGTGTTTGAGGGGATCGCTAAAGCAGGAAACCCAACTCCTCTGAATCAGATCTTCACAGAGCTCTACATCACAGAGGGAGGGACTGCAGAGGTCAATGATGAACATGAGGTCAGACAGATTGAAACAGCATTCAGGAAACCAGACAGACCAGAATCAACAATCAGACAAGAAGACATCTTTAAAGCCTCACCTGGAAGAGATGAACCAATCAGAACAGTGATGACAAAGGGAGTGGCTGGCATTGGGAAAACAGTCTTAACACAGAAGTTCACTCTAGACTGGGCTGAAGACAAAGCCAACCAGGACATACAGTTGACATTTCCATTCACCTTCAGAGAGCTGAATGTGCTGAAAGAGAAAAAGTACAGCTTGGTGGAACTTGTCCATGACTTCTTCACTGAAACCAAAGAAGCAGGAATCTGCAGGTTTGAAGAGTTCCAGGTTGTGTTCATCTTTGACGGTCTGGATGAGTGTCGACTTCCTCTGGACTTCCACAACAATGAGATCCTGACTGATGTTACAGAGTCCACCTCAGTGGATGTGCTGCTGACAAACCTCATCAGGGGGAAACTGCTTCCCTCTGCTCGCCTCTGGATAACCACACGACCTGCAGCAGCCAATCAGATCCCTCCTGACTGTGTTGACATGGTGACAGAGGTCAGAGGGTTCACTGACCCACAGAAGGAGGAGTACTTCAGGAAGAGATTCAGAGATGAGGAGCAGGCCAGCAGAATCATCTCCCACATCAAGACATCACGAAGCCTCCACATCATGTGCCACATCCCAGTCTTCTGCTGGATCACTGCTACAGTTCTGGAGGATGTGATGAAGACCAGAGAGGAAGGAGAGCTGCCCAAGACCCTGACTGAGATGTACATCCACTTCCTGGTGGTTCAGACCAAAGTGAAGAACATCAAGTATGATGGAGGAGCTGAGACAGATCATCACTGGAGTCCAGAGAGCAGGAAGATGATTGAGTCTCTGGGAAAACTGGCTTTTGATCAGCTGCAGAAAGGCAACCTGATCTTCTATGAATCAGACCTGACAGAGTGTGGCATCGATATCAGAGCAGCCTCAGTGTACTCAGGAGTGTTCACACAGATCTTTAAAGAGGAGAGAGGACTGTACCAGGACAAGGTGTTCTGCTTCGTCCATCTGAGTGTTCAGGAGTTTCTGGCTGCTCTTCATGTCCATCTGACCTTCATCAACTCTGGAGTCAATCTGATGGCAGAAGTACAAATACCGCCCTGGTTATCTAAATTATTTAAAGATAAAAAGAATCTAAAATATGTACACCGCAGTGCTGTGGACAAGGCCTTACAGAGTCCAAACGGACACTTGGACTTGTTCCTCCGCTTCCTCCTGGGTCTTTCACTGCAGACCAACCAGAATCTTCTACACGGCCTGCAGACACAGACAGGAAGTAGCCCACAGACCAGTCAGGAAACAGTCCAGTACATCAAGAAGAAGATTGACGAGGGTCTGTCTCCAGAGAAAAGCATCAATCTGTTCCACTGTCTGAATGAACTGAATGACTGTTCTTTAGTGGAGCAGATCCAACAGTTCTTGAGATCAGGAAGTCTTTCCACAGATGAACTCTCTCCTGCTCAATGGTCAGCTCTGGTCTTCATCTTACTGTCATCAGAGGAAGATCTGGATGTGTTTGACCTGAAGAAATACTCTGCTTCAGAGGACGCTCTTCTGAGGCTGCTGCCTGTGGTCAAAGCCTCCAACAACGCTCTGTAAGTACTGAGACAGCTGGCGTTACAGGTATAGATAGAGGTATAGGTATAGACAGAGGTATAGATAGGTGTAGGTATAGTTGGGTATAGCTAGAGTTATAGGTATAGATGGTTATAGATATAAGTATAGGTACAGATGGGTATAGATAGAGGTATAGGTATAGAAATAGGAATAGCTATAGATGGGTATAGATAGAGGTATAGGTATAGATAGGTATTGGTATAGATGGGTATGGAAGTGGTATAGAGGCATAGGTATAGCTAGAGTTATAGGTATAGATGGTTATAGATTTAGGTATAGGTATAGATAGGTATTGGTATAGATGGGTATGGATAGAGGTATAGACGCATAGGTATAGCTAGAGTTATAGGTATAGATGGGCATAGATAAATGTATAGGTATAGAAAGAGGAATAGCTATAGATGGGTATAGATAGACGTATAGATAGGTATAGACAGAGATATAGGTATGGATAGGTATAAATAGAGGTATAGGTATAGATATGGTATGGGTATAGATATGTCTAGATAGAGGTATAGGTATAGATAGGTATAAAAAGAGTTATAGGTATAGACAGAGATATAGGTATGGATAGGTATAAATAGAGGTATAGGTATAGATATGGTATGGGTATAGATGTGTCTAGATAGATGTATAGGTATAGATAGGTATAAAAAGAGTTATAGGTATAGATAGGTATAGATAGAGGTATACATCAATCAGACAAAACATTCAAACCACTGACAGGTGAAGTGAATAACTTTGATTATTTTGGTTCAGTGCATTGTTCTGCTGAGAAACCTTTGGTCCTGGCATTCATGTGGATACCACCTGACATGTTCCACCCACTCAAACACTGATGCAGACCAAAGGTTTTCCAGCAGAACAATGCTTTGGCTGATCGGTGTAAGTATAAATAGGTATAGATAGAGGTATAGGTATAGATAGGTATAGATAGAGGTATAGGTATAGATAGAGGTACAGGTATAGATAGAGGTATACTTACCTGAAGCAAGTTTGATTTACTCATCTGACTCATCTACTCATCATCAATGAAAATAAAGCACAGATTTCAAATTAGTTTTTATTATCCAGATCTATGTTTAGCTCGTCATCGTCGTCGTTATAGTTTTAGTCAACAAAATTAACACTGGATACTGAATCCTCGTTGAGAAAGAGTTTTTACACTTGTTGCAGGGACATCTCAGTCAGCAATCCCAAAAAAAATAAAAAAGGTAATTCATTGGGACTTCACATCCTCAGATGGTGGAAGCCAACAACAGAACAAGTACGATGCCTTGCTTGTGTCACCTTTAAAACGTCATTATCTTTTAAAGAGAAAAATAAATGACTTTCTTCACTGTCTCTTTAGATTGAGTGGCTGTAACCTCTCAGAGAGAAGCTGTGAAGCTCTGTCTTCAGTTCTCAAATTGCAGTCCTCCAGTCTGAGAGAGCTGGACCTGAGTGACAACAACCTGCAGGACTTGGGAGTGAGGCTTCTGTCTGGTGGACTGAAGAGTCCTCATTGTACACTGGAAACTCTCAGGTCAGAATTCATCAGTATGTTCAACTAATGACCACCTAAATCCTGGTTTACATTAAAAGTGCAGTGTGTAAGGTTTAGGGTGATTTAGTGGCATCTAGTGGTGAAGATTGCAGATTGCAACCAGCTCTAATTGCTCAAAATTCCTTCAATGTTCATTGTTTAAGAGGTTTTCACTAGGAGCTGAAGCTCTAAATCACCTTGACCGTCTCTTACAAAATGCACATGTCGAAAAAAAGACTCTTCTATTAAGTTTTGGAGACAGGGCAATCTCTCTCTCTCTTAACCTTGGGAGCTATGGCAATGGAGCCAGCTAGGCACCCTCATCTGGACAGCTGTACTTCCTACGAAAGAACTGGGAAACCAAAGGTGCAGTGCGTTCATAACAAGGAGCCTCTTTTAGGCCTTCTGCTGACCTGACTGTTACCTTAAGCATAACTGCCACCCATTTTCTTTACTGACCAAGGTTGGAGGTTGCAACACCACAAAAGTCCTTTACAGTTGTGACTGCAAAAAAATCAGTAACAATGTTAATGCAACCCCACTCCCAGTCCCTTCAAATTATGTCACGTGTTGGTTTGTGTGTTTGCAGGCTGTCAGGCTGTCTGATCACAGAGGAAGGCTGTGCCTCTCTGGCCTCAGCTTTAAAGTCCAACCCCTCCCATCTGAGAGAGCTGGACCTGAGCTACAATCATCCAGGAGACTCAGGAGTCAAGCTGCTGTCTGCTGGACGGGAGGATCCACACTGGAGACTGGAAACTCTCAGGTCAGAAATTTATATCGAGTGTCAATGTCGTACTGATAACATTATGTCCTGAAGAAGTGGAAATAATGAGCTGTAGTCGCCGGCCAATAAGAAGAAGCGCTACCGAGCTTAAAGACAATCAGTAGATGAATAATTAGTTCTATATGAGGACATTTGTAGAGACTAAATAAACTGTGCATGAGAGCGATGTCATCTCCATGTTACCATGCTGACAGAGGATGCGTTGCTCTGACCCCCCTCCTCCTTTCAGGGTGGAGCCTGGTGGAGTCCAGTGGTTGAGACCAGGCCTGAGGAAGTGTAAGTGAGTTTTGAATTTGATTCACGAAAACAAAGCAGCACACATTCAACCATCTTCAAACTGTGACATCACTCAATCAGATCTCTGATGTCATAGATACAATAATAACGGCAGCTGTGTCTCATTCTCTCCATCAGACTCCCGTGAACTCACGCTCGACACAAACACAGTGAACAGAGGGATCGAACTGTCGGACAACAACACAAAGATGACACACGTGGAAGAGGAGCAGCCGTATCCTGATCATCCAGACAGATTTGACTACTGGCCTCAGCTGCTGTGTAGAGACGGTCTGACTGGTCGCTGTTACTGGGAGGTGGAGTGGAGTGGAGAGGTGGATGTATCAGTGAGTTACAGAGGAATCAGACGGAGAGGAGCCAGAGAAGACTGTGTGTTTGGAGAGAATGATCAGTCCTGGAGTCTGAGATGCTCTGATGGTTGTACCTCCGTCTGGCACAATGACAGAGAAACATCCCTCACCACATCCTCCTCCTCCTCCTCTGCCTCTGGTAGAGTAGCAGTGTATGTGGACTGTCCTGCAGGCACTTTGTCTTTCTACAGAGTCTCCTCTGACACACTGATCCACCTCCACACCTTCAACACCACATTCACTGAACCTCTGTATCCGGGGTTTCGGCTCTGGTCCGGGTTCAGCCTCATGTCTCACAGGTCTGGTTCCTCAGTGTCTCTGTGTTCTCTGTAGGATGGAGAGTCTTCTGTTAAAGAAACGTTCCCACTGCTGACCAGATAGTTCAGCCTGTACAGTGTCACACACAGCTGATGTTAAACATGTGGATGTTGAAATTCAGGTGACTGAGCGTGCACAGGAGCTGGTACTTGATGCGTTTATGGGCAAGGAGGTTGTTGAAAATGCAGTTAAGTTTCTCGGTTGGCAGGGAGGCTTGAAAGAAGATGGAGGCAAGGGTGATGCTGAGAAATCAAGGGATGTCCTGGGTTGCAACCATATGGTGAGATTGTATAACAGGGGTTATGATGGTGAGACAGTGCTCCTGAAAAGGTGATCAAATATTTTGGGGCTCCCTTTGTCACCTTAAAGAGGCAACAGATAGCATCTTTTCCTAAATATATCATTCTGAAAATAATGTGGGTTGCACAGGGTAGTGGCCACAGTAAAATCAGACTATCAGCGTTTACATAGGTTACTTATCTTTAGTTTTGCAATAAGCTTTTGCCACCGGTGCCGAAATTTCGCGGAAAAAATCTGCTTTATGGCAGGAAACGTGTCATGTATTGTAAAATTGGTCGGTCAGCCAATCAGGCACTGGAGCTGGTCCTTATGAGGAGTTGGGCATGAGATAGTTGAGTCACGAGCACAATGGCAGACGGACAAAGTTTGGAGACAAGTGAAAAACAGCCTAGCAAAAGAAAAGGAGCTCCTCTGTTTGAGGAGGCAAAGAAGAGCAAAAAGGAGAGTGATAAAAGAAGAGGAAAAACAAGAGTAAACCTCAGTCAGGTGTTCAAGAGATGGAGGGAGCTCCGTGACCAAAGAGGCTTCAAAACCCATGTCCAGCTAGCTTTCTTTCTAATGGATCAGTAAGTAACACGGCTAAATGTTAGCTAGACCAGAGAGGACTGTACTGTACTGGCTGCTAGTTCATTCCTAGCTGGCCAG